ACCAGCACTACACAGCCTGGTTTATCTGCTTTGTTTTCTTTTGCAACATTTCAGATGTTCACTTTAAATTCACCTCACAGTTCTATAGAAACACAGCTAGCGTGTCCTTTAGATGTAGAGAACATCTTCACACTTCAATGTATGGATTTGTTCTAATCTTTAATCTTACGGTTCGTTAATAACGGTGATGTTAAACTACCTGGGCAGAGTTCTTCATTAAACAAATCCAATCTATACATTGAAATGCAGTGTTGTTTGGCTGCTTTCAGAACTAGAATGTCGACTTTTGAGATGCATGAGCAGTAAATTGCTCTCTGTAATGACACATTTGCATATGCTTTAAGTTGAAATCTCTCTGGGGTTGGTTGTTTTGCTTAACTTCGTTTCTAAAAGCGCCTGTTGTTCGGTGAGCGACTCGTCTATTCCACGTTTCAGGCTTCCTGCCGACACTCCTGCAAAGGTCCTTTACATTCCTCCCCTCTACCTGAATGTCATTTTTAAAGTCTCTTTTGATAGATGAGAGCTTTCCTCCCCACAATCTCCCGCAGACGAGCGTGTGCAGATGAGAGATCGCTGTCACGGAATATCAAGTGCTGATTTACTGTATAATAGATTCAGAGATGATGCCTCCTGCTGTCCTGCCACCTGTTCTGTCAGCCGAGAGCCGTGTCGCTACGCACACATCCACGGCTCGTTTACCAGCGCGCAGCACTTCAAAACACAAGCACATCCCTATTAACCAGTCAAAGACTAGCAGAAGCAGCTCAAAAGCACACAACCGCCCGACTACGCCGCACTCAGCGATCAGATGAAAGAGGCCGGGATGAGATGCGACTGCGGTTGTGGAGGTCCGTCCATCCGGCTCCAGCGCCATCCCGTCTTGACTCCTCCACGTGTGACAGTGATGAAGTGCCTCGGCCGGCCTTTTTTTGGCTCCTCGGTGAAAAATGAAGCCATTAGATGTAGAGAGAAAGAGAGAGAGAGAGGAGCGGCTGAGGCTTGTGGGCACGTGACGTGAAGCCCTTCCTCTCCTCCCGCTCCGGCCCTAAAAGAACGATCCATCTTAATCAGAGCCCGGTCCACACAGCACTTGTACCAGATGCCTTTTTATACAACAAAATGACAATCTCATCATTTCAGGAGTAAACGAGCCAGAAACAGAAAGGTCACCGGAGTCAAAAACAAAGAACGCACCGGCTGTATATTAAAGATGAATCAATACCGTCCTCTTTCTCCTCGGTCAGCTGTTTCGTTGCTACATTCTTTTCCCATTTTCTTGTCTTTCGGCTGCTCTGCGTCCTCCTCTGCCATCCACCTTTCCCTCTCGTGTATGTAATTAAACACAAATAGCTCTGGTGCCACCAAGTTTCTCAGTTGGTCACATCTGGCACATGATTGGATCATTCCTCCTTCACCTTTATTTTGGTAAATCATCGCCTCAACTGTCAGTCCACCCTGCATGCTGATGAACAGATGTCTTTGCGATTGTCAGTGATTTGAGACTTGAAACTTGTGAAATATTTTAATCTAAATGTTATTTAATTTTGTCACCACTATTTTTCTGATATCAGTCCTACAAACTGGTCAGGCTAAAGTCCTCACTTGCTCAACATCTGGTTATTGATGGTCACTAATGTTCACTGATGCCTCACTGTCTACGGTACACGGTGGGAGACCTTAAATCAGTTTGAAAAGAATGAAATAATGCAATTTACTGTCAGATATCTACATGGGCTGTTTTCTTTGAGTAGACTTTTATATAGGTGGCCATCATACCGCAGTAGATGATGTTTCCTTTATTGTAGAAGGCCAAAATTGTGATCGCTGTTAATATTAGTTTCACTTTTCAGCCGTATCACCATCATGATTTTTTTTTTTTTTTACTGACTCGGTCGAGATCTCACTGCCTTCGTCTGCACTCTGATCATCAAGTGCATCTGAGTCAGACCTCTCTCTCCACATTTAGTTTTTTAAAATAATCTGCTACAGATAGTTTCATCTTTGGAACATGGTACCAGGGAAATGAGAGACTGACTGAGAACATGTGGAAGTAAATGTATTGCTATAAACTAGGGATGCACGATATATCGGCGACCACATCGGTATCGGCTGATACTAGGGATTTTTCTGATATATCGGTATCGGTCCAATGAACAAATTTAGCCGATGATTGTCTAACATTAGCGCCTTCGTCTCTACATTTGATATCGCTGCTGTGTCACAGATGTTTTTACTTAAATGGTCCTGGACTTAAATATGTTAAAATATGTTAAAATATGTTTTACTTTTGTTTCGTAATAAAGAAAGACTCTGTGGTCTAATTTAGGCTTCTTCTGAATAGTTTTCACATTCTCACAGTGCTTACTTTTACTCATTTCTCAGTGTGAATAAAAATTGAATATCGGTTATCGGCGATATCAGAAATTTTAACATCAGATATTGGTATCGGCCGGAAATTTTAATATCGTGCATCACCACTTTAAACCACAATCTAACACGGTAGCTGATCTTCTCCAAATCAGCTGGATGATCGTCATAAACTCGTACAACACGTGAAATTTTAACTCTCCATTTTGGTGGCGGTCCCTGCGTTATGTACGACCTTTACGGTTTACAGCTTCAGTTTCCTCCCCGAGATAAGAGAGTTTTAAAGAGGAGCCGCTCTCTCCATCCTAACCTGCCTTTGGGCACATTCTGGGCTGTTGAATCATGGAGCAGAAGTTGCTGCCAGCGCTGTGTCTGGCTGTGCAGGTCTACACGCACTCCAGATCCAAATTGTGTGTGTGTGTGTGTGTGTGTGTGTGTGTGCGCACGCAGCATGTTGATGTGTGTGAATGTTTGCGAAGTGTCTTGCTCAGTTCAGGCAGAAACGCCGCAGCCTGTCCAGACATATTAGCATCAAACCACTCACCTCCCCAAATGTTTGTGTCTCACTGTTGGTTCGGATGCGTTCAGAGGAAATTTGGATACCTGTGTGTGGAAAAGATTTGCAGTGAGTTGGCTGCTCTGCGGCTGGACCATAAAAAAATCTTTCACGGGGCATTAAACAGCCGAAATGAAGAAGATCCTACTTTTATGTTTTATTTTACTGAATGTGTGCCATGTGTATTAGAATTACTCACAGTCCAGTAATAAATCGAAGACAAACTCCTCCCGGTTGTCGATTCTAAGAAAGATTTGACATGAAATCATTAACAAGAAGTGAGTGCCAAACTCCTCTGGACTGCAGCGTACACATGGAAGTTTCTCTCCTCCCCTTCTCTTTACTGACCTCTTGTCTCTCCATCGTCTGTGTCTCCGCAGAGTCCAGCAATCATGTACGATGCGGCCAGGGTGCCATCTCCTAAGGATGGCGCGAACGGGGTGGCCCAACCCGAGGTCCCCGCGACGGGAGCAGGAGCGGCTGCAGGATCAGGAGGGCCGACGCCGACTGCCGCGCTGCAGGCTAAAGCTGAGGACGGACAGCCAGGAACGGAGGAAGAGGAGGAGGAGGAGCCCAAAGCAGAGCCAGTCTTGGTGAAGAAGCCGCACAGAGAGATCTTGGATCACGAGAGGAAGAGGAGGGTGGAGCTCAAATGCATGGAGCTCCAGGAGATGATGGAGGAGCAGGGGTGAGTGGATGAGTAACCTCTTGTACAGCACAGTGTGTACCGAAAGCTACTTCAGGAGATGTTTTTATGATAAAAATGTATCCGATGGGAAAGCAGTAACTCTTAGTGATGCACCTCCAGAGAATAATCATCTAAATCTGCAGCCCTCCTGCAGTGAAGGACTCCCAGCTTCTGTTAAAGTTAAAAAAAAAGCTATATCCTTCACATTTATAACCACACTAGTATATAAAGACAGAGCTTTGGAGCAGTATGTCCTCACTTCATGTGTTTGAATAGCTTAGGTCCCTAGGTAGTTTTTAAATACAATACAGTACTATTAAATGTACATCATTTATGTTTTGAAGGCCTTTTTATGGTCATCATTCCCCACAAGCCCCCAGATGTTCACCAGGACCTAACCAAGTCAGAAGATGAGTATCTGAGTGAGCTGAGGGTTCCACAGTCCAAAATATCTCCAACAACAGATAGGACTGAACACTTAAGAAGGTTCTAGTTTACAGCTAAAAGGTTTAAAAATGGCTGCAGAAAAGAGCATCAGCAGGTTTAAAGGATATGTAGAAGTCATGTTATGATGATGTAAGAACCAGCACCCTTACACTTGTAGTTTTCCCCTCACAGAATAATAGTTAAAATCCAAAGGTTTCAATTTCCTGCCAATTTGAAAAGTAAAATCCAGGAACATGACTATTTTTTTCATTAAGACCAATGAATGAATATTCAACATGAGAATGCACTGAGTTAGCAGAAGCTTGATGTAACATAATGGCTTCAACCCATTTTAGTGAATTGGAGATCTTTGTTTATCTGCTGAGTCCGTCGCTTCACTGTTTCAGAACCTTCATAGGGTTGGTTGAGGCTGCAGCTGTTTGCAGGACAAAAAAAAAAGATTCAGAACCACTGTGCACTACCTGATCACCAGAAAACATCAGACAGAAACAGTTAACGACTAGCTGGTGAACATAATGAAGGATCTTGCAAGTAAAGAGCCAGATATTTCCCTCAGGAGACAGAGCTACTCAGCTCCATCGGTTGACATATTTGCCATTTGTCAAGTTGTAAATACTGTGGTCAGAACTTTATTTTGCTGCCCCACATAGTCAAAAAAATCACTTAGTGTCAATCCCCATGAACCCCCCATGGTCAAATGTCCAAGTCTAGAGCAGAAATAAAGGTATTTACAGCCTCCAACACCAAACAGTTTTAGCATCTATAGCTCATTTTAATAGAACTCACAAGTTTAAATTGTATTAAGGCTTGAAGTTATGCATAATCAAGGGGTAGCAGCTTTGAGGGGGGCATTATCCATGACCCACAGATATTTGTACGGTCCACCTCAGCTCCGCTCACGCTCCAGCGCTTTTCTAATTATTGGATCAGACTCAGGCACTGCCGAGGTGGCGACGGCTGGAGCCTGTTCACTTAGCTTCAGAAACCACCTACACCGACGTGTTATCCCTCTTCATATGCAGTCAGTGCTGCAGATGCCCACACATCCAGCTATGGACGCCGTGGACATGTAGTTGTTCTCATTATGCTACTTTCTGGTCCCCTTCGAGGACGCATTCAGTACATTTGAAGTAGCATCTATGTATTCTGTGCATGTGCATTTGTTGCCTTTGTGGCACTGTAACAGGCTGCACAAAGCGATGATGAAATTTACGTCTCTCGGGCTCTAGTGGAACCTTTTGTTGTGGCATCACTAGTTTTTCCGAACACAGCCTGCATAGCAAAAGCAGCACAGCAGCAGCTTCAGTCCCACATCTTTATCTACACAGAAGGCATTCAGGTACGTTATTGAGTGTAGGTCACTTGTTGTCGCTCATAGCTCAGTACACCAAACTCATAAAATAACAAAGATACACGCTGGGGGTCTCAGTAGTGCATCGAGTATACAACATGAGTGAAATGCAAGCTGTTTTACGGCCGGTGTAGACAGCTGGATTGATTAAAACAGAAACAGGGCTGCTCTCTCAGATGCACATTAAACGGATGAATAACTGTCTTTTGTTCAGAGGTTGCAGTAATATTTTGACTTATAATGCCTTAATGTGGGTGAAAAAGGTGTTTAAATGTGACACCGAAAGCAGCTACAAGAGTGGGTAAAAAAAAAAAGATTCTCTCGCTCGAAGAAAACCATCTGTTGCAGCCTCACATACAGCATAAGATTCTCCCGTCTGTTGACTCCGTGATGCTCACAGCCCATTGAATGCCTCCCATTGAAGGCATTGACAGTTTTTGACAATCTAACTTCATGCCAAAACTGTTCATTATTATGTATTCCTGGCACAGTACGACACCTACTGCACCAATCACACTTCCTTGTTCAAAGGGAATCATTCGGGTTTATAGCTACAATACATTAGATAGTAATATAATACAGTCGTGACTCGATAATCTGACCCTTAACAATCCGAAAACCTATCCGACAGGTTTTTAGGAAAAATGAACTGAACCCATAAAAAACAGCCTTAACATACCGACAGCCTTGGATTCTGACTCCGACGCAACATTTAATGTCACCAATCAGGATAACTGCGTATTATCTGACTGAACAATCCCACAGATTGGCTACGTTCACACTGCAGGACTTGATGCTCAATTGGGATTTTTTTTTTTAATTGGATTTTTTTGTGAGTTTGTTCACATTTCCAGTTAAATGTGACTTGTATGTGATCTGCTGTGTGAACTTCATAAGACCCCAAAGTGTCCCGCATGCACAGAAGAGGACACGACGACGTCACACGCAGCGAGCGTGCTCAGTGTTTATGGACGTAAACACGGATGGTGGCGGCGGTGGCGGCAGCGGTGGCGCAACCGATGGTGGAAACAGAACTGTGACTGCTATCCTAAACTAGCATCAGCAGCCAAGTACTGCCTGCGCGTTTCGGCCACTTCCACCCCGTCGGAGCGCTCCCCCGGGTGGAAGTGTCCCCTGACCGCGCCGAATAGTCGGATATTCATCATTAATTGGGCCTGATGATCCAGAAACCAGAAAGTGCTATTTGGACCAGCCCTACTAGTTATTATAATAAGTATGAACAATAATAAACAACAAATGAGCCTTCCAGCAACAAGCCCTCCTTGTATCTTGACCTCCGTCTTGACAATCCGACATAAAAGAAGATTTTACATTTAGTGTCTGATTATCGAGTCACGACTGTATTTTATTTTACTCGTGAAGTTCTCTGTGATTTATGTTGTGAGTTGGTGCTATATACACAAAACTGAAGTAAACACAGTTGTTTTAGCTGTATTAATATTTCCTCTTCTTCCCAGTCCTCTAATTTGCCTGCAGACTCTGCTGCCTCTGGTACACTGGTTCCTAAAAGGACTTAAAGCTCTGCAATGTGAGCTATTTCCTTGGAGTCTTGGGAGGCTTTTTAAAAAAATAAAACCCACAAATGGAGAGGAACAGGTAGCCTCTTATAGCATCACGGATTCAGCTAATTGTCAAGTTTGGTTTGGCTCAGTTTTATAAGGCAACCCACACAGAACGCACACAGATATTCAAAAACTGGATCCAATTTGAAACCCTGACATGTACAACCCTCACGGAAAAAAAAGTACGAGAGTTACACTGGGGTTTTGATGTCAAGTGAGATTACCGCTTTCAGAAAAACGGTAGTTGTTTATTTTTTTTTTTCTTCGCAATTCTGTTATTGGGGAGCTGGTTAGAGAGCGAGCCATGAAAGCTTTAGTAGTAGAGAAGCTGACACTGACAGGTCTGTACCTGTAGGGGTGCTGAGTTCACAAGCTGCACCAAAACATTACATTCAGAATCTGTTACCTGCCAAAAGTCATTTTCTTCACAATATTAGGAGGAAAGGGAGAAAAAAAAAAAACACAGTAGTGGAGTAAACATAAGGAGCTTCGTGAGGAGATGTTGCAGAGCAGCTGTGTGTGGATGATATGGGAGTATTAGTAGCTGTGATCTGTCATGACACCATCAGGTGATTTATTTCTGTTGCATTCTCTTTAAAGCAGGTCATCCTTGCGAGATGCTGTGAATTAAACTGCTGTCTTTATACCAAGGGTTGATCCTGAAAATAACTGTTTTCTGGCACAAGAAGGGGTTCAGTATTAGGTGAAGGACACCACAGGGACTATTTTGGCAAAGACCCGGGTGCTTCCTGCTTGGCCAGGTGCCTCAGTTTACATAATTGGCAGCGTTCACAATCAGCAGCCCGGTGAAGGATCGTGTCCTCGTGACTGCTGTAGGGTCTCCTGCTTGCCGGATGAGGCGAAGCAGGGATGTGTGGACGAGCCTTTGCATATATAGTGTGTGTGTGTGTCGCTGTCCCCGAGCCAGCAGTGGGAGTCACTGAAAGGAAGTGAGAGAAAAGTTTTAGAATATATGTAGTAAGGTGGGAGCAACGTGTCCTGGTAATCCCCAAAGCTACGATTGCACCATGCGGCCTCGAAGTAATAATTTCACCAAATTCCACACACACACACACACTTTCAAATACTTTCCAGGGTTCATGTATGCAGACGGGTGTGAATTCAGTCTTCGGTGACTTCCATTTGTTCTCCACAATCTTGTACACGTCACCGGTGCAACATTACTCATCCTTCGTGTTGTTGTGTTCCTGCAGCCGGCGCTTGAACTTTGAATTACTGTCGTTATCCTCAAGTAACGGTTGTTAGCGAGGTTGCCGTAGAGACAGTCAGCGAGGAGCGTCGGCCAAGCCGTCGTAGTCTGTTTCATTAGCATGACATCCAGCACAAAGTTAGCAAAGAGCCATGGAAACTGTAGAGACTGCAGTCGACTCTAATCCACAATCTCAGGGCTTCCTCCCTGGCGGATTTGCTCTCGAACACACACATATATTCACACGCCGTTGCTTGAATAACCACAGCTCGCAGGCAAACTCCAGGCTAGCTGAGACCGTAATTAACAAGGAGCTCTGTGATCCTGTGTCAGTGCAGAGAAACTCACTTTCCCACTGATACCTCGTGACATTTTACTCACATCACATTTGTCATTTACAGAAAGCTGG